AGCCCAGCGGGCACAACAGCCGAAATGCTGTGATAACAACAACAAAGATGAGGACAATAGTCCAAATGTAAATAGTGTAAATAATGATAACCCCTCATCCCACAAATTCAGACAGAAATAATTATTTATTTTCTCGCACTTCTTGCCTGTGGAATTCTCTTCCAGCTTCTTGCTTTCCTGTCAATTACGGTCTTTCAAAATTTAAATCGGCATTTTCTGTTCTGTCCTTTTCAACATGTTATTTTATTGTCCTTTCTCGCCAGTAAAGTTTTTTTTTTCTAAGCCTCTTTCACCCCCTGTTACTGGCGTCTTAATGGCTTTATCACCTTGGTTGTAGCAAAATTTAAATAAATAAAAAGCCAAAGAGAAAAGAGCTTTACACAGATCTTAATGTTTAATATGATATACACCTTTATGACGATGTAAATGAAAGCATTCCGAGGCAGCAAAACTGGTTGGATAAGTTTTACAATGTCATAAAAGCAATTGGACGATTTACACAAGTTGAAAACAAAGTAAAACGATAGCAAAATTTAAATACTCGAGAAGATCAAATGACTGTAGGTTTAACAATTCATAACAAGTGTTATTTACTAAAATGTAGGACAGGTTTGTCAAGTTCAAATTCGTTCTGGGATCATTGTGTTCATTCAATTCATACAGCTCATAAACAAAATCGAACAAAAAATAGAATTTACACATGAAAAACAAAAGCAAATAACTTATATGTTCTTGTATATATGTATATTTGCCCGTGTGTGTGCATATATATACGTACATGTGTGTGTGTATATATATATATATATATATATATGTGTGTGTGTGTGAGTGTGTGTGAAAAGTGTATATAAATATAAACAAATATATATATATATGTATAATTATTTATATATTATATGCGCGGTACTTATTAGAAAGCGCTCAATATCAGAGATAGAGCTAACATATTTGGTTGGATAGATGTGAGTTTAGGACCCTGGGTTTCACGCTTTAGCGATCGTCTTTTAAAACATTAATCAGTTTGTCTGACGATCGCTAAAGCGTGAAACCCAGGGTCACAAACTCATGTTATATTCCGTATTTAGTTACGTGGGCGATGTGAAAACAATGTGGGCGAAATACTGCGTTTGGTTGCAAACAATGAAATTCAGAATCGAAAGAACAAGAAAGACTGTAGATATATTTTATAGTCTCTTTTAGTGAGGAAAATAAGAACAAGTAAATGGTGTATTATCTTGCTGACCTTTGCACTCGGGTAAGCTTAAAGAAAATTCACTTTCCACCAGGGTCTGAACCTGCCTTCTCCTTTGTAGGAGAAACCACCGTCGGATCCGGCGTGGTTTAGACCACTCGGTCGCGGAGGATATCCTTGCTGGTCTGTGACGCTTTCAATGGCCGAGCAGTTCAAGCTTGATAAATCAGATGGTGTTTTCTCCTACAAAGATGGACGCACGAGCAATACCTGTCGGAAATTATTAGGTTTTCTCGAGCGCCCAGGCCAGTAAATGTAATACAAATTTAAAAAAACGGGATGTCTACTCAGATACGGATATCCACTAAAAAATAACGTTTGCATTTTAGTATCATTTATAAGTGTGTACTTCAATGTTGAAAATAAAATATTTTCTTGTATGACTGTATAATTTGAGATATTTCAGTCATGTAAGGGCTTTTGTATATCACGAATATACTAATGCCTATAGTGGGCTTTGGAGAGTGATCTTTTTCTCTCTTTAGAAGCACCTCATTAAAGGCTACTGAAATATTAAAGTTACAACCGAAATATGGGAAAAAGGACAAAATTTAAATAACAGAGTAGATCACGGTTATCTGAGGTTAAACAATTAATAGCAAATAGAATGTGTGCGTGTAGCGTGATGGTTAATGATGCAAAAAGTAGGATTGACGTGTCAAGAATAAAATCCTGTTCAGGTCTTAATAGTCGCTTTTGCACAAATACCATTGAAAGAGTATGAATCCATCTCTTCTACCTCCAGCTAGAGGTTAATAACAGGGCAAACAGAGCTCTCTAGCTTTGGATAGAAACCAGTCGAGGAGATGAACAACTCGGAATTTCGAGTCAGTTGGTTGTTGGATTCGCAATTCCACCCACAAAAAAAAAAAACACTAACTTACAACGAAAACCACGGTAACACAACGCCGAGCCTGTGGAAATGTAATTTTTAAATGGATTTTTTTTAACCCAACATTATTTCCTACTAAGAGTATAACCCGTCTTCGACTGGGTCTTTCATTGCTGGGAATATCTGCCGTTCAATTGGAGCAGTTTAAGTTTAGTTAGCCCACCCAAAAATCAATATTAGTAACAACATTTGGGTGCAAATGAGACACATCCCCAAATGGGGGGGGGTAACAATTTGAAGGGGGGCTCTGAAAAGGTCTGTTTTTGCGTTCTCAATCTTACAAGGAAGGAACCTCTTCCATGGACCATCATAATAGTAATAATAATAATAATATACGATAATTTTTATTTATAATATAACTTTTTTATAATTCTAATAATCTTTTGCGTTAGATTTCAACACTCTAAATTGATTATACGCTGTTTTTTCACCGACATTAAATTTTGCCTTTGATTTTTGCGCAAAGTGTAAAAAAAAATCAGTGTTTTCGATTTTCCACCGTCAAGGTTGTAATTATTTCCAGCCAATTTGGACTCAAACCAGCACTGAAGAATTATCTATCAAATAAAAAAAAAATCATCAAAATCCGATGAAAACTGGAAACTCATAAACAACATCACACACATATATACATACATGCATACACACACATTTTGATAATTATAGACAGATAACTATAAAAGTAATATTTAAGTGGTACACGTATTTGACTTGACAATCCCTTTGTTTTAAAGAATGAAATAGCAACAGGCCTAGCAATCGAGACGTCCTTGTTAAATAAAAACGTGCTTCCCGACAGCAGGAATCGACCCTGAATTCTATTTTTGAATTTGTGGTATATATAAAGCCACCCTGTCATAGGATTTAACGTTGGTAAGCGATTTTTTTACTCGGTCTAGCCAATCTAGGCTTCGAGCACTTTACTGAGTAAGTAAGTTTGTTTTCCGGCCTTCTTGCTTTTTCTCTTTTTTCAGTATTGTCATTATTCGAGACTGTATCTGGATAAGAGTTTAGGTTTTGGCAAGCTATCCATTAATTCCAATAACGGTTTTGTTTTTTTTAATATATATATATATATATATATATATATATATATATATATATATATATATATATATATATATATATACCGGGTGCGAGGGATAAATTGTCTTCTAAATTACGCAAAAATGAAAATAACACTGACATCTCATTTTAACAGATATACAGGGTGCGATGGATAAATTGTCGTCTAAATGACGCAAAAATGAGAATAGTACTGACGTCTCATTTTAACAGATATATTTATCAAAATTACACAAAAATATCTTGAAATACTAAAAAGTCAATTTATTCAATAAAATGGCAATGGCTTCAACCACGGTCTCCGGACAACTTCGGAATCTTCTGCAACTCTTCTGGGCGGTCTCCTTGTTTAAGTTGTTGAATGCTGCCATAATCCTTGCCTTCAGTTTATCTTTGGTGTTACAAGGAGTTTTGTTAGTCTCTTGCACAACTATGCCCCACGCATAATAATCAAGCCGGTTGCAGTCTGGGAAGTTAGGTGGTCAGATGTAAGGGATGATGTGGCCGCAGAAATTGTCTGACAGCCATGACTGGGTTTTCCTGCTTTCCTTCGATCCTGAATTTTTGAATTTGTGGTATAAATACAGCCATCCTGTCATAGGATTTAACGTTGGTAAGCGATTTTTTACTCCGTCTACGCAATCTAGGCTTCGAGCACTTGACTGGGTAGGTAAGTTTGCTTTCAGGCCTTCTTGCTTTTTTCAGTATTGTCGTCATTATTCGAGACTGTATCTGGATAAGAGCTTAGGTTTTGGCAAGCTATCCATTGATTCCAGTCTTGTCATTGCAAACTTTGTCAATTCTGTTTGTTGGACAGTTCTGTTATTTATTTTGCATTTGACCATGGCTACTCACTCCAGAGACATTATTTCTTATTAGTTTTGACATTATTTTAGTGGGTCACGTGTTTGAGTCAACATCCTTGTTTGTCTTAATGAAAATAATGTCAACTGACCTAGAGGTCAAGAAGTCCTTAATAAAAAATAAAAGAATATGCTTCCCGACATTAATCAAAATCATATTCTCTTTTACTATGACTTCTTTAGCCAAAGTACGCCCTACAAATGAGGCTACGGGATATAGTGATAATAAAGTCAAGGCTCGATTACCAACTTAAGCAATGCACATCTCTCGTTAGAACTCTTCAGAAGAAGTAAAGAAAAACTCAACAATTTCCCCAAATACAAATAAAGTTTACACTTTTTCTGCTTATTTCTTTTCCTCTCCTTTTTTTTTTTTTTTTTTTTTTTCTTGTAGACGATTTGAATATTTTTACAAGGCCAAATTTTCACCACCTCATCTTTCCACAATATCAACTTTCCTCCTATATCAATGCAAAAATTGGCCAGCATTCACGGGCATAAAGGAGGATTGATATTATAGTAATTTACTAAATGTAGCTTTGATGTGGCACAAGGCCAAAAGTATGGAGCACCCAGTAAGGATTGAATTCACGACTGAATTGTAATTGATCAAACGAGATAAGCTTGCTAACCATTACACCACGTTGAAGTACCAAAGGAGGATCGATATTACATAAATGTTCATCACTTTGTCTTTGCTTCTAACAAAATTTCTACCTGTTTCTTAATATTTTGCTTAGTTTTTGGAATGCATCTTTCCCTAATCCACTAATTTTCCATCATATCTTAGAAAACTTCGTTAAATGTATGCACTTAAATAGATCTTGCTGAAGGTTTGATCATTATAATTCATTTTTGGTAATAATTTTTGTTTTATTATTTAAACTTCATGTACATTTACACTTTTTTTCTCTCTCTCTCTTTCTAGTATTCTTTTAGTTTCACATTCAGGAGCATTTATGAAAATAAATTATTTAAGACAGAATTATATTCCTTACCCAGTCGTGATAATAGTTCTGCTTCGAAAACATTTGATACAATTGGTAAGTAACTGATCTTAATTATGATGTTTTTTTTTTCATTTTTTTTATTTTTTCTCTCTTCTCTTCTTCTTTTTCCTTATTGTTTTTTTCTCTTCTCCCCTAATTTTCTCTCTTCTCTTTTTGTATTTTTCTCTTCTCTTTTTGTATTTTTCTCTTCTCTCCTCATTTTCTCTCTTCTCTCCTCATTTTCTCTCTTCTCTCCTCATTTTCTCTCTTCTCTCCTCATTTTCTCTCTTCTCTCCTCTCCTCATTTTCTCTCTTCCCTTCTCTTCTCATTTTCTCTCTCCTCTTCTCTTCTCATTTTCTCTCTCCTCTTCTCATTTTCTCTCTCCTCTTCTCATTTTCTCTCTCCTCTTCTCATTTTCTCTCTCCTCTTCTCATTTTCTCTCTCCTCTTCTCATTTTCTCTCTCCTCTTCTCATTTTCTCTCTCCTCTTCTCATTTTCTCTCTTTTCTTATTTCTCTGTTCTCTTTTTGTTTTTCTGTCTCCTCTTTTTGTTTTTCTCTTTTGTTTTTTCTCTTTTTGTTTTTCTCTCGTCTCTTTTTTATTTCTCTTTTTTGTATTTCTCTCTTCTCTTTTTTCCTTCTTTTTGTTTTTCTCTCTTCTCTCTTCTCGTCTCTCCTCATTTTCTCTCTTCTCTCCTTTTTGTATTTCTTTGTTCTCTTTTTGTATTTCTCTTTTTTCTTTCTTCTCTTTTTACTTTTGCTTTTTACTTTCTCTTTTCTTTCTCTTTCTTACTTTTCTCGTATATTTTCCTTTCACTTTTTCTTCACTTTCACTTTTTTTGTCACGTGACAAGCAAATTCTGAGCAGTACTAAAAATAAGAACTAAACGCGATATCCCGAGAGTCTATGGATATCACGGCTAGTTCTTATTCTAGGGCCTAAACACTGGCAGTAGAACAATCTACCCACCCACGCACACACACATCCGTAGATTAAAAAAAGGGTTCAGTTCGGAATTCCCTGTAAATTACACGGATCAACAAAAATCTGATGAGGCCGGAGGGTACAACGGCCGTAAGTTTGTGATAATAACAACAAAAATGAGGATAATTGTCTGCATGCAAATAGTGTAAATAATAAATCCTCACCTTATATATTCAGATAGAAACTAATTTATGATGTATGGAAAATGGCGTATGCTTTATCGTCTGCTTCTCACTATTAGATATCAGAGCATCGAAGGCTGCCCTCAAGAACAAAAAAAAATATAAAATTTAATAATTAAAAAATCGTTACAAATCTTCTATGGTAATCATGAATAGTTCAAAGGTCTCGTGGCCCCCAAGTATCTATGATACCCCCCCCACACACACACACACTCTATTACATATCTAATTTCACAAGGTAATATTCATATATTAAAATACAAATTTTATTGTAACCTAATTATGTACAATAATGAATCATATATACAATATAGGTGTACAATAAGGTCAGTGCTAAATACGAATTAGAGACCTGTCATACTTATGTACAGCGTGGTTCGAAAGTTTTGTCAAAAAACAACCAAAAAGTAATGAGAACAATAGAACAAAAAGTAATAGAGTAATACAAAGCACATGTACTGGATTCAGTTTATTCATTTTCATTGATGAACTCAAGATCTTTTGTCATGTGTTAACATTGTGGTTTTGGAAATTCCTAGTTCGGAAGATCATTTTCGTAAAGATTTCTTGGTTGATTTTAGTACAGAGGCCTCCACCTCTTCACATATATCCCTACGCGTTAAGGGTCGTCCTGTCCTCGGTTTCTCCTTAAATGATCCCGTGAGAAACGGTTTATGTTCCCATCGTAATATCGTCCTCTTCGGAGGAGGAGATGATTTGCCGAATCTTGAAGTGAAGTCATATCACATATCCTCCATGCTCGCTGCAAGAATGCACACGATCATGTGTCCATACACTTGCAAGCAACATCTCTTCTAAACTGTAGGAGCTCCTGTCAGCCATCTGAAATAGATATTATATTATGTAAGGAATGACAATACTTTCAGACCACAGAAATTCATGGATTTGGACGAAAGAGAACCGAATCCAAAATGACGTCAAAATCGTCGAAAATGTTTCATCCTTTACTAGTGCTTTGTTTAATTTGCTAGGCATATAAATTTAGTTAGAATAAAAAGCAAATGTTGATAAGATAGTTACGTTCACAAAGCTCTGGCCGACAACTCCCACCCCGGCCCGGTCGAGGAGTTCGGGGATAGTACACACTGACCCTGATGATAAAAAGCCATTTGACACTAGATTTAAAAGCTCCCAAAACATACGACTGATGTCTTGGCGGGGGCATAGTGATACAGGTTTTGGTTGAAACATGACTTTCCGTCATCTAATGTTCGTGATCTTTGGTCAAGTCGGGAAACATTATACACAGGTTCAGCGGAACAAGGATTAAGGCTCATCCTCACAAGGGCAAAAAAGAACACTGATCAACAGAGATCCCAACTCCCATAAAAAAAAAATAATGTACGCCTGAAGAAGGCCATACATTACTGAAACGTTGTCTATAATAACATTTATTAATATGAGAACAACTACAATCTTCAAAAATTTAAATGCAATGTCAATCGTTATCTTCTGTCTCCTTAATTCTTGTTCTTTTATAGTCCTCTCTCCTTAATAGTATATTTTTATCATATTTTTAACACACACACACACACACACTTGTGTCTTAGTGGCTTTATTGCCTTGCTTGGAGTGAAATGATTATATGGGTATATATTATTATGGGATGTACGAGATTTACTTGGCGCCCCCTCAAATGGGTCAGGTTGTGACACAGCTCAGTTTTTACGTAGAGATCTGAGTGTTTCCGCTGGTCTAAGTTGGTCAAAGCTTGCTAGGCTAGTCATAGACGGCCATACCACCGCTATGTAACATAACAGTGGGAGTGGGGACGCAAGGTAGGAAAGAAGGCCTCCCGCACAGAACAGATACTACATATGCAGCATCCATCCCTACGGAGAAAAAAAACCGTTCTACCCCTCTGCCAATCCCTCCAGAAAAATACGGGAAGTGGAGAAGCCCCACAGACTGGGTTGTCCTGGAAGAATGGCTCAGATCACCTGATTTTATAGTAGCAGGAACATGTTGGCCGATTCGGGTCTCTAGTCTCTGATTGGTCCGTCCTACGTATTCAGCCTCGCATTGATATTTAAACATACATTACAGAACTATTTATAAGTAGAACAGGCCATACTTGACGAGAGAAACAACGAATGGGTCTCAAAACAACACAAAACCTGACAGTCGAAAAACCAGATGTAATACACGCTGACACCCTGTGAGCGAATATTTGACTATTTCAACCCAACCAGTGTAGTTTTAAATAAATGAGACAGATAGAAGGACCAAAAACTACCGCTTCCTTGAAACGTTTAATCTTGCATTCAATAATACGTTTGATGACGTTAATTGGGAAACCATTGTCAGTAAAAAATACAATGAATTTTCTTAGGTTTCTGGTTAACAATACAGGGAAAACAAATTATCAACGCTGAACTAGAGTAGATATCAGGTTAATTTTACGGGACTTATTAACAAAATAATTACAATTAGTAACAAACGTAGGTTTGCGATGAACACTGATAATAAACGAACCATACACATGGGACTTACAGCATTTTTCAAACGAAAAGCTCTCGTAGAAACCCAACCAACAGTTAAGCATGGTGGAAGATTCAAAATGATCTGGGGGCTGCTTTTCTGGTACTGGAGGTCTTGATGGATTACAGGAAGCATAAAATCTGAGTATTATCAAGGTATTTTTTCATTTCACCCCAAGCAAGGCGGAAATGCCACTAGTACGCAGGGGGTAGGAAAATGAAAGTGAGAGAAAACACTGGGTTTTGGGGAGATTGAAGAAAGGATAAAACATGAACAAAATTCACGAAGATAGAAGATGGCGATTGATGTTGCATTTAAATCTTTGGAGATTGTAATTATCAGGGAAGCAAGTAAACGGAATGGAGTTTCACAGGCGGGAAGTGCGAGAAAATAAACTGTTGGATTAGAAGTGGCGGTTACATTTATCCAATTCAACAGTAAAAGAATGAGACCTAGATGTCAATCTAGTAGCATGCGTAAATTCACGTAGTCGTTTCACCAGGAGAGAAAAAAAAGCTTATCAGAGCAGTTACCATGAAAATATTTGTAGAAAAGACAGAGGGAAGCAACGTCATGTTGGTGAGAAAGTGACTGAAGCCGAGATAGGATCGATTACATTGCAGATCATTCTTTGAATTTTGTCAAGAACATCAAGATGAATATCGGGAGCACTAGACCAGATATGGCAACTGTATTCAATGTACAGACGAATGGTAGACTCGTAAATGTGCAAGATGGACTCTGACGAGAAAAAAACCTTCTGGCACGACACAGTGACACAACTTTCCTTGCAGTAGATGCAGCTATTGATTTGATGTAGTCGTTCCACTTCAAGTTAGTTGAAAACTTGAGGCCAAGAAGGCGCAGTGTGGTGCTCTCCAGGAGTTTAGAATCAGTCAAGCTGATGGCAGGCAGGTGAGTTTCTCTATGGTGGTTAAATGAGAGCAGTTTCATTTTTGAGGTATTAAAATTTACAAGCCATTTACTGCCCAAGTTAACCACTGATTGTAGCTCAAGAGCAGCGGCCAGGCTCACTTTGTGTACAGTAATTGTTCGGAGTGGTGTTCCAATTGTTTACAAATCAGTGGTAAAAGCTTGCATTTTATACCCGACATACAAGTCGACCTCTAGTTTTGGAAAGATTTTTTTAGGTTTGAAATATCGACTTATACGACGCAATTTACGGTATTTCTGAAGATAAAGCAAAACCCTAAAGGGCGCCAATAATAGTAACAAGGATTGTATATTCAATGCAGATAATCATGACAAGAGATCCAGTTTTGTACTGGACAGCAAAATTGATATACAACATTAGTCAATTTAAGTTTATACCTTAAGATTGTATGTTGAATCCACTAATTTGTTAAAAGATTTGACTGTGTTGTTGTCATGCAATAAAAGCCACTTGAAGAAGCAGTTTTCAGTAATTTAAGCCTTTGTCTAATTTCAGTTTGTAGCCAATTCTCTCCAAATTTTACTTACACCTATGATGGCCAAAATATGAATGTCATTCTCACTACCGGACCCGCAAGATGCAATTATAAAGAATATTGTATTACAGTATATGCGAACAAAACGGAAGTCATTAAAGAGGTTATCATTCCTACTAAAGTAAGTACCACTTCATATTCGGCGTTTGGCCTTTTGTGTATAAGCATTGCAAAGGTAAAACTTTAAATGTTCTCCTTGTAACTCTTATCTTTTTGTAGGTTTTGTATCAGATAGCATTATCAACCTCCACAACTGGAGTGACCACTTGAACCACATCCCAGCTTAGTTCAATAAGTCTAGTGTTAATAATGCTTGTAAAATCTGATAAGAAAATAAGCATAAATCTTTCATATGTAAAATAACTGCATATTCAATTCTGAACTCAAATTAATGTTGTACGGATACAGAAGGTGCTTATCACCCTAGGATGGTGATAAGTCACGTGGCTCACATGACGGTATCTCTTAGTGACGTCACTCCAAACGGTAACAACAATTCCTCTCACAGTAGCCAAACAGAAAGTTTGCTTTCTTTAGCCCAGTCCCTCCATGACCTGAGCAGAGGCTAAATCTGCCTCCCTAGCAGCTTACAAGTCCATGGTACCGTTTCCTTTTTAAGAATATATATATCCTAAATATAGAAACTCCATCTCACAGTCCTCAATTTGGGAAAACCCAAGACTCGCTGTTTCCCGTTCGCGAAACATGTCCTCGCCTGGGACAGGGATGAATCCAGCCCATTTGAATCTGGAATCATAAACATGCCTTCTCCAAACACAGGAGTCTTTCCATATTATATGTAAGACTATACCTTTTTTTTTCTCCTTACACTCTGCTTTGCTATCTAGATATATGTGATATATTATTCATCACGTGGAACATGTCTATATATGTGTATATAATTTTGCGTATGTGTTAGTATATAAAAGTCTCTCCGAGGAAAAATCATATTTGTCAATCCTTTTCCATTGAGCCATTCTGTTCCGTCCATGAAATACAGCATTATTATATTTCAGATATAATAATGCACATAATGGGGGAAATGCAATGGGAGAATAAATCTGTCTACCATCTGTCTCTGTCTCTCTCTCTCTCTCTCTCTCTCTGTCTCTCTCTTCTGTTACAATATCAACTAGTCAAGGGTATGTGTTTTCCGGTCTTTCTGAAACATTCATTTTCCCTCATAGATTAGAAATTTATATAAATTCCTGACATCCAGTTGCCCTGATTGAACATATACTATGTTCAAGTGAACTGACTTCTGATTTTCTGATAGGTCAGCCACTGACATCCACTGATATTCAATTCTGGACATGGTGGATATGTCTTTACCACGTAGGTCAACCCTTTGAAGCACCTAGCACTTTTAATGTTCGAGTGTGACATTGAGTGCAAAGCTTATATGGGTATCTTTTAGGGGGAGCCTATTACGTATTGGGATTACCACAGTTCCACTCATCTTAGATCAAAACTTAATGATTGACGTTAAATTCAATTTGGCCGTCTGGTGTTACCTTGTGCAATTAGCACAAGCATTCTTCACCTACACGGGAAACAGAGATACAGTTATTTTATAGAAAGCGAAGATACACTGAACTCTCAAACATCATGAGATAAAAGTATATGAAAGTAAAAGTAGGCGGTGGACGACACTTGAAATAAACAGCTATGCACTGTTATCTGATGAATCACAGTGAACATAGCTTAGACAAAGAGACATGACTCATGAGAGTTCGCACAGGTTTGACAGCTCAAGACAAAGTGACATGAATCGCAAGAGTTCGAACAGGTTGGACAGCTCAAGATGAAGTGACATGAATCGTAAGTGTTCGAACAGGTTGGACAGCTCAAGATGAAGTGACATGAATCGCAAGAGTTCGAACAGGTTGGACAGCTCAAGATGAAGTGACATGAATCGTAAGTGTTCGAACAGGTTGGACAGCTCAAGACAAAGTCATGAATGAATCGTCAAGTGTTCGAACAGGTTGGACAGCTCAAGACAAAGTGACATGAATCGTAAGTGTTCGAACAGGTTGGACAGCTCAAGACAAAGTGACATGAATCGTAAGTGTTCGAACAGGTTGGACAGCTCAAGACAAAGTGACATGAATCGTAAGTGTTCGAACAGGTTGGACAGCTCAAGACAAAGTGACATGAATCGTAAGTGTTCGAACAGGTTGGACAGCTCAAGACAAAGTGACATGAATCGTAAGTGTTCGAACAGGTTGGACAGCTCAAGACGAAGTGACATGAAAAGTGTGAACAGGTTGGACAGCTCAAGACAAAGTGACATGAATCGTAAGTGTTCGAACAGGTTGGACAGCTCAAGACAAAGTGACATGAATCGTAAGTGTTCGAACAGGTTGGACAGCTCAAGACGAAGTGACATGAATCGTAAGTGTTCGAACAGGTTGGACAGCTCAAGACGAAGTGACATGATCGTAAGTGTTCGAACAGGTTGGACAGCTCAAGACAAAGTGACATGAATCGTAAGTGTTCGAACAGGTTGGACAGCTCAAGACAAAGTGACATGAATCGTAAGTGTTCGAACAGGTTGGACAGCTCAAGACAAAGTGACATGAATCGTAAGTGTTCGAACAGGTTGGACAGCTCAAACAAAGTGACATGAATGTTCGAACAGGTTGGACAGCTCAAGACAAAGTGACATGAATCGTAAGTGTTCGAACAGGTTGGACAGCTCAAGACAAAGTGACATGAATCGTAAGTGTTCGAACAGGTTGGACAGCTCAAGACAAAGACATGAATCGTAAGTGTTGAACAGGTTGGACAGCTCAAGACAAAGTGACATGAAGTGTTCGAACAGGTTGGACAGCTCAAGACAAAGTGACATGAATCGTAAGTGTTCGAACAGGTTGGACAGCTCAAGACAAAGTGACATGAATCAAGACAAAGTGACATGAATCGTAAGTGTTCGAACAGGTTGGACAGCTCAAGACAAAGTGACATGAATCGTAAGAACAGGTTGGACAGCTCAAGACAAAGTGACATGAATCGTAAGTGTTCGAACAGGTTGGACAGCTCAAGACAAAGTGACATGAATCAAGTGTTCGAACAGGTTGGACAGCTCAAGACAAAGTGACATGAATCGTAAGTGTTCGAACAGGTTGGACAGCTCAAGACAAAGTGACATGAATCGTAAGTGTTCGAACAGGTTGGACAGCTCAAGACAAAGTGACATGAATCGTAAGTGTTCGAACAGGTTGGACAGCTCAAGACAAAGTGACATGAATCGTAAGTGTTCGAACAGGTTGAACAGCTCAAGACAAAGTGACATGAATCGTAAGTGTTCGAACAGGTTGAACAGCTCAAGACAAAAATGAATCGTAAGTGTTCGAACAGACATGACAAGTGAACAGGTTGAACAGCCAAGACAAAGTGACATGAATCGTAAGTTCGAACAGGTTGAACAGCTCAAGACAAAATGACATGAATCGTAAGTGTTCGAACAGGTTGGACAGCTCAAGACAAAGTGACATGAATCGTAAGTGTTCGAACAGGTTGAACAGCTCAAGACAAAGTGACATGAATCGTAAGTGTTCGAACAGGTTGAACAGCTCAAGACAAAGTGACATGAATCGTAAGTGTTCGAACAGGTTGAACAGCTCAAGACAAAGTGACATGAATCGTAAGTGTTCGAACAGGTTGGACAGCTCAAGACAAAGTGACATGAAACAGCTCAAGACAAAGTGACATGAATCGTGTTCGAACAGGTTGGACAGCTCAAGACAAAGTGACATGAATCGTAAGTGTTCGAACAGGTTGAACAGCTCAAGACAAAGTGACATGAATCGTAAGTTCGAACAGGTTGAACAGCTCAAGACAAAGTGACATGAATCGTAAGTGTTCGAACAGGTTGGACAGCTCAAGACAAAGTGACATGAATCGTAAGTGTTCGAACAGGTTGGACAGCTCAAGACAAAATGAATCGTAAGTGTTGAACAGGTTGGACAGCTCAAGACAAAGTGACATGAATCGTAAGTGTTCGAACAGGTTGGACAGCTCAAGACAAAGTGACATGAATCGTAAGTGTTCGAACAGGTTGGACAGCTCAAGACAAAGTGACATGAATCGTAAGTGTTCGAACAGGTTGGACAGCAAGACAAAAGAACAAAGTTGAACATGAATCGTGACATGAAGTGTTCGAACAGGTTGGACAGCTCAAGAAAAAGTGACATGAATCGTAAGTGTTCGAACAGGTTGGACAGCTCAAGACAAAGTGACATGAATCGTAAGTGTTCGAACAGGTTGGACAGCTCAAGACAAAGTGACATGAATCGTAAGTGTTCGAACAGGTTGACAGACAAGACAAAGTGACATGAATCGTAAGTGTTCGAACAGGTTGACAGCTCAAGACAAAGTGACATGAATCGTAAGTGTTCGAACAGGTTGGACAGCTCAAGACAAAGTGACATGAATCGTAAGTGTTCGAACAGGTTGGACAGCTCAAGACAAAGTGACATGAATCGTAAGTGTTCGAACAGGTTGGACAGCTCAAGACAAAGTGACATGAATCGTAAGTGTTCGAACAGGTTGGACAGCTCAAGACAAAGTGACATGAATCAAAGTGTTCGAACAGGTTGGACAGCTCAAGACAAAGTGACATGAATCGTAAGTGTTCGAACAGGTTGGACAGCTCCAAGACAAAGTGACATGAAAAGTGTTGAACAGGTTGACAGCTCAAGACAAAGTGACATGAATCGTAAGTGTTCGAACAGGTTGGACACAAGACAAAGTGACATGAATCGTAAGTGTTCGAACAGGTTGGACAGCTCAAGACAAAGTGACATGAATCGTAAGTGTTCGAACAGGTTGGACAGCTCAAGACAAAGTGACATGAATCGTAAGTGTTCGAACAGGTTGGACAGCTCAAGACAAAGTGACATGAATCGTAAGTGTTCGAACAACAGGTTGGACAGCTCAAGACAAAGTGACATGAATCGTAAGTGTTGAACAGGTTGGACAGCTCAAGACAAAGTGACATGAATCGTAAGTGTTCGAAACAGGTTGGACAGCTCAAGACAAAGTGACATGAATCGTAAGTGTTCGAACAGGTTGGACAGCTCAAGACAAAGTGACATGAATCAAGTGTTCGAACAGGTT